TTTTTATCATCATCTTAATATCATCATATTAATCAAATTACTACCTAATTACACTGCTATGTACCACCATCCCACCACTACCACCACCACTCAAATGCAGTACCTTAGTACCATAATTACCACGACCACAACCATCAAAGCATTATATCTATCAATTCAACTTCGGTTGTCTTGACGAAATAGTCTTGTTAGGTCTAATATGACATAAACCTTATGCAATAGTTTAATATTGCAGAGTATAGTGTGGAGATTATCCGAAAAGTATATTACAATAACTGAGTTACAAAGTCAACCAAGGAAAGCCGTGATGCAAGCGTTGTTGTGATAATGTTGAGTTTATTACACTTCATACAGTATCAAATTCTTTTCCAAGCACCACTGTACTAGTATAGTATAGGCCTATCAATAAACAATATATTTTTCCCAATATTGTAGAGTAAAGTGGACGATTGTGGAGACTATCATAAAGAACATATTACGACATTGAGTCACAGAGTCAACCAGATAATGCCACTACAAAATCAAAATTGTGACAACTACAACGGCACGAAAATTCGCGAAAAGAAGTGTGTTTTTCTGAACACCAATAAACTGTCGTGGGTTGAGGCTCAAAGCTGGTGTCATTTGTTTGGTGGTGGAAAATTGGCAAGAACTAGTGGACACCATTACTTGGTAAATTATCATTGTAAATTCCCATTGTGTTGCGTCCATGTTCTTCGAAAAGTGATCATATTCGTGATATAATTGATTTTCTGAAGTGTCGTCATCCAGAACTGTAGGCCTACTTAGAGACTGTAACAAGATTACCCCCAATATGTCGAAAAAAATCACTTGATCGAGTGAGGGTGGTACATTGCTCTAAATCTAATTTAATTAATTTTAAGCCCCGCTTCCCGGCAAAATTTCAATTCTTAGAAAAATCGGATTTTTATATGTTAAAAAATTTATAGGCCTAAATATAATACGGAATTGCTAGTTTAACTGAATTTAGGCATTCTTAGCATGAAAAAAATGTCAAATAAGACTGAAATTTGATTTGTTGTGTTTCATACAAAAAATTTACGCTGACCGAGATTTCGACAATTAAACAAACATATCTGAGGCCTACTCGATTGAGAGCGGGTGTGCGAGATGCGAAGTACAAAACTAAATCTCGGCGCACATTATTTATCTCTCACGATCGTGTCGGCGATGTAAACAGTTCAGTAAAGATTAATTAATGCTTATATTATTATTATTATTATTATTATTATTATTATTATTATTATTATTATTATTATTATTATTATTATTATTATTATTATTATTATTAACTGCGGAATGAATTAAAATATCTTATCATGAGAGCTCATGGCAATGGCGAGATAAAAAATAAGAAGATAAATGCGGCGGGTTCGCGAAACATTAACCTGCCTACCTCCGACGTCGAGTGTTTAAAGTACGCAAAAGCGAAAGCATTCCAGCGGATGCGATCTAAAACCTCTGAATTTGCCTAGTAACGAAGAATTTGTGGAGAAAATAGTAACCTCCTATGAGAAATAGTCTCTATTTATCATTTTATTATTTTTTTAAATAAAGTTGAGTAAAATTAAAATTCATGTCAATATTTTTCAACGGTTTATAATAATTAAAGTAATGAATAAGGGCCTATGCAGTTAGTATCAGCAGTACTACCTACTAATTAGGTATTACTTTCTTGATCTTTTTGTTTTCAAGTTTATGTTAACCGCATAGAGGTCTCATGCGCTATATAAGTCAACCATTATTATTAGTGTCCATATTTCCACTCCATATGCAATGACTGGGGGCATGCACTGGTGGTGATGGTGTGGTGGTGATAATAGTGGTGATGATGATAATGATGGTGATGATGATGATAATAATAATAATAATAATAATAATAATAATAATAATAATAATAAATGATGATGATGATGATGATGATGATGATAATAATAATAATAATAATAATAAATAATGATGATGATGATAATGATGGTGATGATGATGATAATAATAATAATAATAATAATAATAATAATAATAATAATAATAATAATAATATATAATGATGATGATGATGATGATGATGATGATGATGATGATGGTGATGATGATGGTGATGATAACAATATTTGAAGCGCATATTCACTGATTCGTTTCCCAGTATCATGCAATTTATACAATCCTAAATTTTCACAATTTTTTTTCAGAAAAAAGCGTTGAAAGGTCTCTGGAGTTTTATTGGTAATGCTAGTGATGCATGGTTCGATTTCAGCAACATAAGGGATAGAAATATATACTCCGATATGGATTTTAAATTTTCAAGCCTCACTTGGGGCGAAACAAACGAGAATAACAATACGGAAGAAAATTACCTATTGTGTGGAGGTAAGGTTCTAAACCACAATTTACATTGAAAATGTTTCAGATAGCCGCTCACACATGTAAGCTGGGTTCACGTCGAACTTTTATCTAGATATACATCCACTTAACTAGTTAAAAGTTCGACGTGAACCACTCAATTATAGCTAGTTAAAGGAATTAAGTCACTTAAGTTAAGTGAATTAACTTTACTGAATAACGGTAAATTAACTTGCTTAACGGTAAAGTCGGCTCGGATTAAAAGGACACGATTACGTAATGTAGGCATCTAAGCCAGCTTTGTTGTATTGTACCACCATTATCATCTTCTGGCTGGCAACAACGTACTTCAACAATGCTAACAACAGCATCATTAGTCTGGTTTTCAGAAATTATTGTAATATTTTGGGTAAACACCCAGCAAACGTCCGTTTTACGAATAGTCGATATTACCAATGACCTTTGGCCTTTGCATCATCGACCAAGTAATAACGTTAAAAAGTCCGGTTGCGTACGTTTTTCAAAGTGATAATGTATATTTTTCTTAATAATAAAATCAGATTTGTTGTATTTATTTATTGACAATTCAATCTTTTCTATTTCTGCTATAATAGTCGCTATTAATTCAATTTCAACGAACTACCACCAACGCCAGTCGTTAAAATGAGCGCACATGTTTACGATGACGAAATAAAAAAGTGTGTGGAAATCAGCAACTTATTTGACACCGCGAAGCTAGATTTTCGCGAAGTGCATGTAAACAACACAATTGAGCGATCTAAAAACTACAAAACAGCACAGAAAGGTCCATAAAGTATACATACGTTTTAATGAAAATTAAAACAATATTTTGTTAAATGGAAGAATGCTAGCTAGCGATTTAAATAATTCGTTTTTTATCGAAGGTAAATGTAGCTAGGGCCAGGGCCTAGAGAAGCTACCACTTAGATTGCGATAGAACACGCTACTGCACTGGTCGTTGGTTCATACTGGTCGGCTAGGTTAGGTAGTGGAAACTCACACCTCTCTACAGTAGTTTACAATTTTTTTTGAACGAATACCACTTGGTACTAGAGGTTCGTAAAATACAGTAGATGTTTTATTAAACAAGCCTTTCGACCGTGTGACGTCGACGCTCTTATACACATCTAGATGTGTATAAGAGACAGTGGCTGGCTGTTTATCTGGCTCTAACTTGGCATCGAACGCAATTAGGGGATTATCGTATCATGTTTCAAGACGGGTATATCTAGATAAAGTTCGACGTGAACCAAGCTTAAGTGTTCATTCCCTAATTGCAAATCCCCACTCTGTGAAATATGCTCAAGCAATCAATCAATCTATTCAATACGACTTTGTTTCCAGTTCTATCATCAATATAAATTTTAAAACATGAGTAACTCAAATATAACAATTATAATAAATAAATGTATTAATTTATAAGGAATTGGAAAAAGGCATACAAAGCAAGTATAAACTTTTATCATGCAGCCCTAATAATGATAATATTAATAATAATAATAATGTATATATATTATACTGTATACAATTAACAAAAGTGTAGTTTTAGTAACTATATATAGGCCTATATAAGAAATATCACAAACGTTTTATTTACCTTTAAAGGTTACTGAACCTACACATTTGCTTCACGTATGTTAATGTTATTATACATAGGCCTATATATCTTTTTAACATAATATTCAGTTCACCGGTCCCAGACTTGGGAAAATTTACCCAATTTCATTAAAATCAGCTACCAAAGAAAAGGTTTTCTTTTAGACTGATAAACACTTTCTGTCAATTTACGTTTAAATAATAGGCCTATATGTGGATTAGATGTAGAAATCAGTTTTATATTCAGTCAGTCTGTCATTCATTCCATATATCAATCAACCCATAAATTAATAAATATATCAACAAACGAACCAGTTAATCAATCAATTAATCAATCAATTAATTGAAGTTAATAAATTAAATAAATCAATATACCAATCAGTCAGGTAATTAATCAATCAACTAACAAACCAACCAACTAATCTATCGATCAATCAATCAATCAATTATTTAATTTAATGAATGAATGAATCAAGCAATATGTATAATCAACTTATATTTATTATAAATTTATATTTATAATATATTTTTTAACTTCTTTAAATACATTTATTTACTTATTTATTTACTTTGTTAGTTTTCATTTGTATTCCGTTTTAATTATTCGTTTTTTTTTGTTTTTTTTTTGGTAATTCTTTAAATGTTTAAATTACCATCGGCCTCATATTCCTTTGCCAAGTGTTATATGTATGTCTCTAATGATTAGCTCCGACTGGATGGACGACTTCACAAAATATTATTGAATAAATGAATAACTAAATCAACAATAAGTCAAATAATAAATCAATCAGTCATTCAGTCAGTTTTTTCAACACAAATAGCGGCTCATCTTGAAGATGAAAAGAGTGTGGTATCAATGCAAGATTGTAATAAAAGAAAGCCGTTTCTTTGTGAATTCTACGAAAAAAATAGTAAGTATACATCTGTTTTATTTATTTGATTTAATAAATGTACATCATGCATCATGTATTATTATTATTATTATTATTATTATTATTATTATTATTATTATTATTATTGTTCTGGCCTCGCAAGCGCGTGCGCTGCGCCTGATATCCAGACAGCTAACCTCCAAGAAGACGAGTTTTGTACTGTAAAACTTTATTCTTGATCGTGACGTTATCTTTAGTGGTAAACTGTAATAAGTCT